CTTTCTTTCTTTCTTTCTTTCTTTCTTTCTTTCTTTCTTTCTTTCTTCCTTCCTTCCTTCCTTCCTTCCTTCCTTCCTTCCTTCCTTCCTTCCTTCCTTCCTTTCTTCTGTCTGTCTTTCCTTCCTTCCTTCTTTTTTTCCTCCTCCCCTCTTCCATCCATCCCTCCCTCCCTCCCTTTTCAAATAACTCAAGATGGCAAATATATCCAACATGCTTTCCTCCTATTTTCAGAGATGGGCGTCATATAATTTAACAACCAGTTTGCTTAGTGCAGAACCAAAAATGTGAGCGGTAGTTCCAACCTGTTTCTACTTGCTCTTTGAGTTTAGACAACGAGGAAATAATTTGAGGAAGGAAAATCCAGACGTGTTTTTATTTCCTTCCCCTAATCCAGGGGGTCAAACTTGCAGCCTGCAGGCCAGATGCATCACATGCTGGCCAGCTCACCTCTGTTTTAGCGAAGGGGGAAAACGTCGCGATACGTCATGATGTGATGACAACGTGACACCACGAGTTTGACACCCCTGCCCTAATCCTATTTTTCTCTCAATAATTTCAGAGTGTTTCAGTTTACCATTCTTGCACCACTGCATTGATAAACATGCAGTTTTCTAGGCGACACATTCTTCTGCCACACTACATTTCTGTTTGTGTCATGAACTCCGCACAGAGGCAAAAGCAACTAGAAATGACCACCTCCTTTCCCATTTCTTTTCTGCTTACAATATTGTGCTGAGTACATGTAATCATTACAGGTCGTTCTTTGGCTTACTACCATTCATTTAGTGAGCATTTGAAGGTACAGCAGCACTGAAAAAAAAGATATACAACCATTTTTCATACTTACGACTGTTGCAGCATTCCCCATGGTCATGTGGTCCAAATTCAGTTGCTTGGCAACTGGCATGTATTTATGATGGTTGCAGTGTCTTGGGATCATGTGGTCCCCTTTTGTGACCTTCTGGCAAGCGAAGTCAATGGGGAAGCTAGATTCACTCAACAACCTTGTTACTAACTTAACAACTGCAGTGATTCACTTATCAAGTGTGGCACGAAAGGTCATAAAAGAGGGCAAAATTCACTTAACAACTATCTTGCTCGGCAGCAAAAATTTTGGGCCCAAAATTGTGGTGGAAAGTCGAGGACTATTTTTATAATTCAGAGGACAAAACATTTGTGCTTCTCCAGATTTTATCTACTCGGTGTCCTAATTGTAACAATATGTCTTTCTGGGTGAGGCTGGAGCAAGTTACACAAAGCATAGTGAACTGTATTCATGGACATGTTTATAGGATTTTGTAAATAAAACTGGCACAGAAAAAGTGTGGATCTTGCCATAAGCAGTTCCTAATGCAAATCTCCCTGTATTGTTCACAGTCCCCTGGGAAAAACAGTTTGGGGCTATTTGTTCAAAAAACATGTAATTCACCACAGTCTCACAGGATATGCCTTCTGTACACACAAGAAACTATTATAATCAGATTTTTTTATGTAACAATAGTGTTTCGATGTTTGTTAAAAACAGACAATGTCACAGACTTCAAATTTTGCCTTATTTTATTCCGGTGAAAGGGCCGAATTCTCTTTCTTCGCTATTACAACAGAGATGGAAGAATGTATACAGATGTTCTACAGTATAATATCTTACCTTGAAAATTCTTTATTCAATAATTTGGGGGAAATGCTTATATCCAAAAAGAGTAATTGACAAACTCAAGCCTAGAGGGTTCGAAATAACAATTGCATATTACATTACGTTTATATATACAATTGTGAAACATGTTTCCAGGCCGGTGGGAAGCAGGTAGAAAAACGAACACAGGAGAAAATATGTGAGTGTGTGAGAGGGAAGTAGGGAGAGAGGCTTTGGAATACATGCAGGATCTACATTTTGCAGATTTTACAGCATGGATATAAAAGTAGCAGTTTTTCTTCTTTTTTAAGGCGCTACAAAGAGAATTTTTGGAATATCTTTTCAAAAAAATACTTAAATACACACATACATATCTATATCCATGTCCTGTTATAAGTGTGTGCATGTGTGTTTGTACACACACACACACACACACACACAGTTTTTCTCTTTAACGACCCTAAATCCCTTGCATTGGGGTGAAGTCAGGGTGACTGAACAGAGTTCAAGTATTTACTGGCTGGATGCCCTTCCTAACGCCTATGTGGAGTTTGCAGCAGACAACTACTCAATGCGCCCAGAGAGAGAAATATCTGCCACTACCTAGGACAGTGATGGCTAACCTATGACACGCGTGTCACTCGTGACACGCCGAGGCACTTTGACTGACACGCCTGTTGGTGTGGGGAAAACCTGCACATTTAGAGGCTGCCTGTGCTCTGCTCCAATCCCTGCTCCCTGCTTGTTGCGTGGAGGCGTGGTGTCAGTTTCATTACCTCAGGAACGCTACAGGAGGAAAGGAGATCCATGAGGTTCACAGCCCTGTAAGGTGGCCTTCCGATCCCCACATCCTGCACCTGCAGCCCTGAGACCAGGGAGACGAGTTTCACAGCCCTGTGTGATCACCCCAGCCCAGTCCATCATAAACCAAATTATTGCTATTTCTTGAAGTGACACACGACCCGAGGAAGGCTACACTTTTTCCCGATTTTCGACACACCAAGCTGAAAAGGTTAGCCATCACTGACCTAGGACATGAGAAAACCCTTTATTGTTTCTTTTAGGGAGTAAGTAAACTAAATGTTAATTCTGAAACGAATACCTGTGCACTCTTATTCAGACTATATTTGATTGTAACAAAATTGAGAGGCCTGAGTGCATATATCTAGGATTAGGGTAACCATGGTTTGAGGAATAAATGCCAGTTGGTTCACCACTCATTGCCCCTTTGCTGAAAGGTGTCCAAGCTCACCCAGAAGAGCAATGCAGTTTATGTTGAGGTATTTTTCCTAGGATACACATTAACAAGGAAATGTGTAAATAGAGAAATACACAAGGAAATGCTAGACACAGGTTTTGAATTAGCTTGGAGCATGTAGCATGCTAAACCTTTCCACATGATTTGTACGGTATCTGGATAATACACTAGCACACATGAGAAAAGCCTCATTCTGGCACTGAACAAATCTTGAACCTGGTCATCAAAATGGCTGCAAGAATGCGAGGCATAAACTGACAGGAAGAAAGAAACATGATGAGAAGATACTTTCCCGTTGTTCACTGATTCCAGCAAAATGAAAAGCTGGTTGGAAAGTTACAAAGCTCTAGAGTTTTTCAGCTAAATTCCTAGAGAAGGGGTTTTGGCCAAGAGGGAGTATTCATAAGATTATGCATGTGCCTCTGG